ACCAGATGTCTGGAACACATATGTAAATTAAACAATACATATATTTAACATTTAAGACGTTAAGCCGGTAAGTTAGCTAGCTAATGCTTTAACTTAACTGTGTCGTATTGGTTCATTGGAGTGGTTAGCTAGCATTACCTACAGCTAGCAAGCTAATGTACATTAAAATGCTAGATCTGCTTTCCAAATAAATATGTGGGCACCCATATGAGTGACTAATAATTCCATATATTTGAACATGTAGGTCGCTTCTGATTATGTCCGCCACCGCTTTCCATAACAAGCACTTACTTTGTTTCTCACTGCCGCTGTTCCATGATAGAAGTGCTTGTCTTTCTCGGTAAGACTGGCTGTTTGTCTAACGCTTACAGAAATGTGTAGTGCCACCTCGTGTACAGGAGTTCGAGGAGGTCATAGAGGGACAGCGGGGCTCAGCGTTCATCAGAAATGTGACTATTTATAATGTAGTTGTGTTGCTAGTAATCCGCCCCGCACATTGTACTAGGCTGATGTTTCTGAACGACACAGTCGTCAGCCAGCTTATTTTCAGCCGTGATTCAGACACTGAAAAAATGTGTTTTTTTGATTAGTTTTTACCATATTCAGAGCTCTGGCTAGAAAATGTTAGATGGTGTACAGATTGTGCATTACATAACTAATTGATAGCTCAATTCGCGTAACTTGGTTAATTTTGGATTTCTCTGGCGTCAATATCAGTTTCCAGGTTTATTCTGATGATCATTTCCCTACAGTCTTAGAAAGGATGGTTCATCAAGGGCTCTTTAGTAAAGGAAGTGGTTCTATTTAGAACCATGAGTTCTATATAGAACCATTTCATGCTTAAATGGTTCTTTGCATGGTGAAATGGTTCTTCAGATTGATTTTGTGTTGTATATGGCTCTATATAGAACCGAAAAGGTTCTTCTGTTACAATGTGCTTGTGACAATAGAAGAACCAACCATTTAATTATAAAATGGTGCTAGATAGAACTATTCCCTTTTAAAGAACCCTTGAGGAACCATCTTTCAAGGTTAACATGAGTGTAGAAAGGGCTTATAATAATAATAATAATAATAATAATAATAATACATGCATACATACATACATACATACGTCATCTAAACCGCTTATCCTTCTGGGCCACGGTGGGGTGCTGGAGACTATCCCAGCTGTCATTGGGCAAAAGGCAGGATACACCCTGGACAGGTCGCCAGTCCATCGCAGGGCAGACAGACAGACAAACACATTCACACCCTCACACCTAGGGGCGATTTTAGCATGTCCAATTGGCCTGACTGCATGTTTTTGGACTGTGGGAGGAAACCGGAGTACCCGGAGGAAACCCACGCAGACACGGGGAGAACAGGCAAACTCCATAATAATAATAATAATAATAATAATAATACTAATAATAAGAAGAATATAAAATGGTTAAAGTTAACATGAATCAGAAATCATAATGCATTTTTCTTGTGTACTGTGACATATTGCTCAGTGAAACACTGTATCAGATAGAGTCTCTGAGCTAGCTAAGCATTTTCGCTTGATAATAGCTAAATGTGGTGAAAGTGTGAGATGAAACATGATACTATTGGTTAATAATATTTTACAAACCCACTGGTGCACGATGACAATCAAAAATCAGATGTTTTTAAAGTGAGCAGAATTCACTGTACTTCAATCAAAGATTACACCAAAACAAAAAATGTATCTTTTTAATTATATGACATTATGAATTGGGCTTAACATGACCAGACACAGGAACTAGTCAGGTAAAAAGGTCAATTTTGTTAACAAGTTGATTTTAAAGAGACACTCCAGTAGGGTGGTTAGTTTGGGGGGGGAGTGAAAAAGAAAAAGGTCTGACGACCAATTGATGATGATGATACATCACTAATGCAGGCGAGCACCACATATATATTAGCCTCTAGATCAGTGGCTACCCACAGGATTTGTTGAGCCTTGCAGAGATTCCCAAATATTGTGTAATGTGTTTGCGTAATGCATGCTGGGTATTGTAGTGAGAGAACACTGGTTGATGATACTGATACAAAACTGAATTCTGTCAAACTAATGAGGTGGCGGGGTGCAATGCTGCACTACAGAATACTACATGACATAACAAATAACATATTAAATGCTTGTTTTAGGCTGGATTCCCCTTTAAGAGTATCGCACGTAACATACAACCTATAAAAAGGTGGTAGGGCTAAGTCTTGCTATGATATTTGGATTACAGAGGGTAAATAGTCAAAAACATAAATGATTATTAGCTCGATATGTGGAATTCAGTCCAAAATGTGAGCTTCACAACAGAAATCAAACAGCACATCTAAAACATATATGTATCTTGGGCCCATATTCACAAAGCTTTTTAATGTAGAAGTGCTGATTAAGGATCAGGTTTATGTCTTATTTATGAGGATCATACTGACAGGAACAGATCCTAGATCAGCGATCCTAATCTGAGACGCTTTGTGAATACGGGCCTTGGCCTAATTACCAGAATAGTTTTACCTTTCAACCTATAAGCTATCTGTGTACAGGTACAGGATCCATACATCTTCTGCAAAGCTGTACATTTATTTCAAAAGTCTCATTTTCTGTTAAGAATTTAAACTAAAACGTGCCTAGTAAACAAAGGATCATATTGTAATATGCCTGTACTGAATGTTCCCCACTGTTGCCCAAGTGTTTTTAACATTAGTCAGCAGTCGTCTTTCAATGGATTACATTTACCTCATGTTGAATAAAACATGACATAAGCGCTTTAAGAGAAACTGAATGAGGATGTTTTCTTGTGAAGCTGAAGAGTCATTACAGAGGCATTAAGCAAGATTTTTTTTTCTAATTAACAGTACACAAATAAAATGAAATGGCATTCGCACATGAAACAGTCTCTGGTAAACTATACAGTGCTGGGTGGCACTGTTGCCACACTGGAGTGCTTAGGGAGCTACAAGGAATAAGGTTTCCAAGAATCCTCACATTACAAAATGATGTCAGGCATGGAAACAGACATTACTTGTGCCTGCCAGACAAAGGAAAACAGAACTTTCACCCAGAAGAGAACACCACAGAGCACACACAGTAAAGGCCTTGCTGAAAACAACATGTGCTCGTAACCTGACCTCTGTGATGAAAACGTAGCTACAGTTGCACGTATGCTACATGGAAATGGATCCCTCTGTCCTGAGAAAGCAAAGAGAATGGGACACGCATCTGGAGAGCTGTCCAAAACCCGTAATAACATCATACTGTACATGCCACTCACATATTACTGCGAGCCAAACACAGCATTTCTGCTTTTCTCCCCACACAGATCTATTCAAGGCAGGGATATTAAAAGCAAATGCAACATGTGGTTCAGATGTAATCGTCCTTTTAAATAGCGTCCTAAGGTAAGCATTATGCCCCACTCTTGATAACTGGGAGTATCTAAAAGCGGCCGTGCACGAAACGAGCGCTCCGCCATCTGTCTGCGCCACACCAACTTGTTACATAAAGTGTTTTTTCATATTAGGCATATTTCGATGAGGTCAGTGGAATGCTTAGTCAAGGCTCCAAATTTAAAGGCAGTGTCACAAGGGAAGTCCATAAACCTGCAAAAGTATTTTTGCAAATAAGCTCTTTCTCCCGAAACCACTCATATGTGGTTATGACTCAGTGTTATTGAGGAAAAATGTTCAAAACACTGGGATCTCTCCCACTTAACGTTATAATTTCACAGTGATTTACTTTTCTGTTGTTTTTTCCCCTTATTCAACAAGCATTCTACATGGACACAGTTCAACTGAGTTGTAGCTCCGGGTCCCATCTGAGGGCCAAATGCCACAGCTTTTGGGAATACTACTACTAGTTCTGTGATTTATTGATACTGCTTCTAAGCCATTTTTTAGGGCTGCACAGGACGACCAAACGTTCACATTTTTGAAACCTCCTGATGATGCTTGTTTGACTGTAAACTGATCTTTCTTCATCCCTCAGAGATCTGCGAAGGTTTCCGATCACTCTGGAGCAGAAGCCACCCAAAATGCGAACACAATTGCTCATCAGCTCCAGCCGCCAACTTGCACTCGACTTATGATGTGCATGAAGGAACCCAGCACACCAGCATGCGATTAGATCCATATGTCTCCTAGGAGGAAAATGCACGTGTGTTGAGTCACTCAGTGGCAGGGCTGTTCAGCAGAAGAAAAGAATGAGCCAGCTAACTTGGCATCTTGCCTCCAGCCACAGTGGATCCAGCATACACTTAGTCAGTTCCTTTGGAGGGAAATGAGATGGCAGTTTAGTATCTATTTGCTAACCAGTTTTGATCCAGTAGTTGCTAAGGGAAATCTAACCTTTAACCCAGTAAATGGCCGGGAGCCTCACTCCTACAACTTAAGAATAATTCCAGTTTGCACCGTTTTCCAAGTAGCCTAGTTACTGAATAATAAGCCATAGGCTGTATTATGTCTGGAAATTTAAAGAACCAAATAGCTGAACAAAAACTGTAGCCTCTGCAAAGTAAACTATTCAAAAGTAGATTATAAGATGAGTAAGTGTTTTTACGCTGAATTTCCTTGCCTTGCAGTATGCAATTGGCTGGAGATGTGGAATGCAGTCGCCTCAGAAATATGGCAGGCATTTCCAACAGCCATGTTATTACATATTAGTATATTAGTAATGTCAGACAGAGGGCGCTGTTGACTCCTTTTTAAGGCCACACCAACGTAAAATAACTATATAAGCAACAGAGTTTATAAGTATGAGCTCTGGAAATGCCATTTTCCTCGTTATCAGCTCTTCTGAAGCTTTAACAGTAATGCCGAACGAGACAAGAAGCGTAAACGAGAGGAACAGCTACAGGTGCTGACTGACCAAAGCAGTTTTAATAAAAAAATAAAAAATGTTTAAACTTATGTTTTTAGCGCGTCCTCCGCTTCTCCACCTCGTTCTGCGCACGTACAGTCGATATTTCTTCACTGGCCAGATTTAATTTCGCCAACTCTCTGAAAGAATTCACCAGCTGCGTCTATTTCTGGCCTCCCCTAGTTTTTCCCGCCTGGCTGACGTCAGCAGAAAGTTATTTTCATGAATGGAGGGGGCGGTCACGAGGAGCCGGTGACGCGCGTGCTTGCGGAAGCGGAGAGTGGAATGTTGGTACACTGTTGTTGTTTTTGTAGTTTAATGTAGTTGGCGGTTCCGTTTCGGCTCGGCTGCGGGACACTCAGACCCAAAAACCTGCGACGAGCCACGGCGAACCCCTCGCTTTAGGATAACCCCCCTCAAGAGTGCGCGCTCCCGGCTAGAAATTCCGCGCTCACGAGGTAAGGTGGTGGTAAGGCTTTTTTCTGTTTGGAGGAGATGTTTTGAAATTCCTGTCGAAATCGCTGATGTTCTCATGATGACGGAGCGGAGCCGAGCCCCATTCCAGAATATTCCGCAGTACAATTTATGGAATTTTTAAAAAATATATACTTCTCTCTCAGCACGTTCACCTCTGTAAGGTAGATGGGTCGAAGTTTTTTAAAGTTTAGAAAATATTTGATAGCAAAAAAAGTGCTTAATGTGTGGACACGTGTGTGAGCTTGAGACCTGACAAACAGCGCTTGCGAGCAACACTTGGCGTTTAGCGTCGCTTTGCTTATTTCAGACGAGCGCAAAACTTTGGCTTGGCTAGATAAATCCCAATATTTAACGTAAATTACATTTTATTAAAAAGAAAAGACTATTTAAAGGGAAAAGAAGACAGCTACGCTGTTCGTTCGCATGGTCGAGGGCGAATTTGACATATATTTTTTTATTTTCGACGGAGTTAGTGAAACTTTTCTGCTCGCTGTACATTTCTCTGTGAGTAACCGATCCTTAATATTACGACATAAGGAAATAACACGTGGTGTGCCCTGTAGGATTTCTGGGACAAAGGGCACTATAGCCAACTCACGCCATCTGAAGGACTCTTTCTGGCATGTTTGAACCGCTCGTTTGAACTGTAGTGATAAGTAAATATGAAATATGAGGCGAATATTGTGTTATTTGTTGTTATTGTGTTGATGTACGCTGCGCTCAGTGTCCAGGCGGCGGGCAGAGTTCAGGGTGACGTTATGTCAGATGTGGGAGTTCACTCGCTCAGTCAGTCAGTCAGGCAGTCGCTGCGCTCTGAGGCGCTCGCGCTGCGTGTTTTTCACTCTCTTTCAGACGGTCTTACGAAAGAAGGTCATTACTGTAGCCAGCGTTTCCCGCTTATATCCTTGGCCAGTCCTCATAGCACGGTTATTCATGTAACCAAACTCGTCATTTATATCAGCAAACTATTAATAGGCTACTTCCATATGTGGACATAGACGCGCTAGTTTTACAGTATCTGAGGTAACTGCTTGTTTAGCGCCGTTTGTGTAGCTAGCACTCACTCACTCACTCACTCACTCAAACCCTGAAGGAACATTTTGGAGTTTGTGCAGTAAATCTGCAGACTGTTCATATTCAGGAACATTGGACAATAGTCCATTTTGTGGAGAGGCTAGTACCAGAGCTACGCCCTCATAGGAAAAGTGAGTCATAACTGGATAATGTGATTCATTTCCACATGTGATAAAAGAGTTGTCATTAGGCCCTTCAAAGTGACACAACTGGGCTCCTTCAATGTAAGCAATGCAAATAATTTCTCTGTCAGAAACAAGACTCTGTCTATGTTATGTCTAAAACATGTCCATTTATGGATAATTTAAAAAAGGGCCACCATCCAGTTACTTGTGAAGGAGTGCTCTCTACATCTTTGTTAGTGGTGAGGCTGGCCTTTAGTTTTATTGTAATACTTTGGCACTTGAGATAAACTGTTACGCACAAGCCCTCTACATAAACTCCTGCTGCTATAAATTAAGGGAGGTAGTCCTTGATGTAATTCTGTCTGCTGGGCTGGCTATGACCACAGTGAAGAGCAATGGCTGTGATGATTTCAGTTTTAAATGGGAACTAAAAAAAAAAGTTGCTGGGCTGAAATTACACTCAAAACTTTCATAAAATATGTGCAATAAGCGAAAGCGCAAAGTAACTTCCTATCTTGCTGCCAAGCTCATGGCTCAGTAAAGCAACCGTATTCACTCATCGATGACCTTTGCCCTCGTGATTTATGTGGAAAATTTTGGAGGAGGTCCACCCCGTTGCTCCTCTTTATGTCATACTGTACGCAGGCAGCGTGACCTCGTCTTAGGGTTTGTCTGACTCACGGCGGCTGAGGTGTCTGTGGCGCTGACCTCCCACACCTATTGCGTCGTCTGCCTGCCTCTTTTAGAAGCCGTGAGGAAGCACATGCTTGTCTCCATCATAAGATGCACACGTGGGCTGGTCACCAGCATGGCCCACACAGCCCTGTCCTCACTGTTAGAAGTGGCCTGTGCTCACGCAGCTTTTCTTCATCGGCATTTGATCACATGTCTTGCTGGAGGTCAGAGTGAATCGGAGTTGTGATATTTGTCAGCTGCATATTCAGTGTCTAAAGAGGACACAGTGCCTTAACAAAAGTTGTGGTAAGAACCACACAGCTGGGTAAATGGAAGCGGATGCTTACTGTACTCTTTGTGGTTTTGCAGAGCAGGCTTTGAAAGTGAATGAAACAGTGGTGGTTAGTGAATTAATGACTCAGAGCGAGATGCGGGGAACTCCAAAGTCTGAAACTTTCTATTTGAGCAACATGTCTTGACCGAGGCAGCAATATTAGCCTTAGTCATCATGAGACAAAGTTTAGCTATTTTGACTAATTTCACTTCTGAAGGGTCAGAGGTCATATTTGTTGTTGCATTATCCTAGCAGCTAGTAATTGGCAGGATTGAAGTGGATGGCTGACCCATATCTGACCATTTCATCAGCTAGAGCATAGACAGTCAGTCAGCATGTGTAACTTATTAGCATGTTGATGTGTCTTGATTAGGGTGGGTAGGGGATGCATTAGCTCTTTCTGGGTCCCAGTGAGAGCTCTGTGGGGGTGTCTGAGCCACGATGTGCCAACTGCACCCTGCCCTTTTCCTGTTACTCTCACCAATTCCTGGATCTGAGAGGAGTGACCGCACCACACTGTGGTTTTGGGCTGTGGATGTGCCGTCTGGAGCTAAAAACCCATTTGGGTGATTCGATGTTTATGCTAGTAAGAAGCAGTGATGTATTTCACAAAGCAGGATTTCTCAGGAAAATGGATAATTTGAGCCCAGCATGAGGATTGTGCAATAGAAATACCCTCAATCTTCCCTCCTGTTGGACAGGCTTGACTTTGGGCTTAATTTATCTGGCTAAATGGGAAATCCTACTTTGTGAAGTTCCTCCTGAACAAATGTAGCTTTACTATTCCAAGAGATTAAACTCTCAGTCTTTAGACTATACATGCCTACCCATAAAAGAACAGAGCACTATCACATTTGATTTTCCTTCAAAGGTTTGAGGTTATTAACTGGTCTGTTTCAAACACCTGTATGATTTGCTGGGTTTGCAAGGCAGCTGAAAATAGATGTGTTACACATGTTTCTTCCTAAGGGACTGTGTTCACTGCTTTCTGCTCTTTACCCACGGTGTAATAGCTTCCCGTCGTCGTACATACTAGACTGCCTTGTCTTTGTTTTGTGCATGCTTTGCATTCCTCTGAATCCCTGCGTCCCAAGTTGGAAAAAAGTAGCTTTGCTCAGATATCTACCTCTCCTCCCTATCCGCAGAAAGTTCCGGTGATCACGCCAGCCCCGTTCCCCGTACTTTTCCTTCCGCCCCGTGAAACAACGGGATTTTCCAGGAAACGTCAGTTTGGGAGGGTGTGATTCCCTGCCGTTCGTCCTCGCTCTTACCAGTAAACAGCATGACTCACCGCTCAGCTATGCTCTCCGTTTCCTTTACATAATATCCCACCGAATGCGCAGCTACAGCGCTGTGGAGCATAGTGGGCAGGGTCCAGAGGAGACAGGCCTCTTCACCTCCCTGTGAAAAACAGCCCAAGCTCCGGAGCAGGGAGGAGCCAGCTCCTTCTAACTGTCCTCTCAGCAGAGCTAGTCTGCTCAGTGCAGAGCCTGCACAGTTAACTAGAGGGTAGAGAGATAGCAAAACAAACAGCTAGGACAAACCAGCGTGCCAATTATCATGGCAGCGTAAGCACAGGTGCCTTTGAAGTACTGTTTGACATCGCCCGAGGTCTGGTGTAATACATTACCTTTCATTCAACTCATAATCATGCTTTGAACTTGCAGAAGCCTCTTTGCCGAAACACAGCAGTTTCACAGTTTACAACAACAACAGTGGCTTCAGATTCCATAGTGAGTCTGGGACTTTCTGAGAAGGCTTTTAAATCTCAGAGCACAAATAGTGCAATTATATCACTGTCTGGGCCTAAAGACAACCATACAATGGTTAAACCCGGACCATGTAATGCTTGGTAAATATTATTGCTGTTGGCCCGAGATTTAGTCATAAATGATTCTGCTGCTTTGTTTTATTGGGATCAAACGAAGCTGCGCCAGTAAGCATGACGCAGAGACTTCTTGTACTTTACATCGTCGCAAGTAATGGAAAATATTAAGGATTTGGCAGTAAACTTTTTCTAGCATGGGGTTTTTCCTTTTTTGTGAAACCCAGCACTGCGCACACTTATTTTCACAATTATATTATTGACTGTAGTTACCCCATGAGCTTAAATACAGTGACTAACATCCTCATGATACCACCTACATATTTAAACACAGGGTGATGACCATCTTTCCCTTGTGATCAATGAAAAGTTTCAGTTCTGTTTCATCTGTTTATTCCAGACGGTGTCTTAATATTTCTCTAACCAAGATAGCATTTTATAGAGCAGTGATTCTAGCAGGATGATGCTGAGTGATCTTTGCTGGGCCAGAAAGAACTCAGCAGTTATGTTCTGCCTGATTAAAGTTTCTCTGATGCTATGAAGTTCCTTTTTGCTTAGAGATGGCACAATACCACTTTTCCCTTTTCAATGCTGATACTAAAACATTGAGTAATGGTACCGGTACCGATACCAATACGGATACAGTATTTTTTCGTTTAAAACCACAAAGTATTAAATTTATTTTTTAATTTACTCGAGATGAAGTAGGCTATCATGCTCACACTACTCAAACACTCTACAACCCCATAGGAAGAAATACACAGCTAACAGCATCACATCACACAATTTGAGTTGAGTTCATGCTAGATTTGTTACAAGATTGGATCACGTTCATTCTTTTTTCCCTCCATTATTTTCTGCTGTTATTGGTCCTATACCGATACCCATCAATACTGATATGCTGTCTGTTTTTGCCCAGTATTTTAATTTAGCAGGTCCTCAGTGTTA